TATTGCACTACACATGGAGCAGAATTTCTGGGACAGAAGCTACACCCACCCTGTGAAGAAAATTGTTCAGCAGTCATTACAAAGGTTACTCTCTATAACCTCACACTTTCATTAGCCAATCCATTTGCCAAGTGACAATTTCATTTGCCAAACTGTAAGTACAAAGACAGCTCCCAATTGCCACAACGTAAATCCATCAACATATCAGCAGTGGCTCCTTCACTGCTCTTCTCCAGCCAAAGAATCTGAGAAACCTTTGCCCCATGAAAAGGCTACAGGTCTGTAATAAAGAATTATTGACATAAAATGGTGCTTCCCAGGAAATTAGGAGAGTGAATGGAGTGGGGAGCATGATAATTAAACTAATTTTTTTTCTGTAGCTACACCCAAGTTTTTATCAAAGTGTCAAGAATCCCTAATTTGAAATACTGTACACATCCCAGTGATATCTCCAGTGACAATTAGAGAAGAGAGAGAGGGTCATTAAAGGCAACTCAAATATGGAAGTCTGGATGAAAATAAGTACAGTATTTCAAAGAAAGTAACATGTCATGAAACATGTACATGGAAGCATAAGGATCATGCTCTGCCTCCATCTACCTAAACTCTACCATTACACAGAGTAGGCAGAAGTTACGGAGAACAACCTATACTTCACAGGCTCAAGAGAAAGTCTATGTGTATGCAGGAATATAGGAGGTACAGGAGAAGTCACTGGGCACATAATGCAGCTGTATACAAATTTCACTTTTTAAAGACTATTTCTTTTTAGACCTTATGGCTGTGAATCTCTGTTTAAGTATGCGAGTAAATTTATTGAAATGTCAAGAGTCAAAGAGGATTTTTAAATAAAATGTCATGTGACCAAAAGGCAGAGATTAATTATCCAGTACAGATCCATATCCTATGCCCTTACCCACAATTTCAAGAATCATATGAAATGGGAGATGTTAAGGAAAAATGAATTATGCAAATACACCGTTCATGGAGGCGGGGGGATCATTTCAATTTTCTTGTGGTCAAATCTTCAGTGCTTCAACACAGATAATTATTTTTAAGTTATCAAACAGATACAAAGCTTACAACAATCACAGTATGATTTGGCTACCTCGGTGGAAAAAAATTCAGTACAAATGATGTGACAGAAGCAGGATGTACAATAAACCAAGACTATTAATGCAGTGCACAAATGCATGCCAACAGCTTTGTGGAGTACTGCCAAAAACAGAAACCTTATCTACATACAAGTTCTTCACCACATTATAGATAATATTTAATTATCCTTTGTGAAGGAAACAGAAATTAAAACCAAGCAATACTCAGAAGTCTCATTAAAGCTTCTCCACCCACTGGAGAAATCTGATTTCAATTGGACTATAGAACATTTAACTCTGTACCATTTGCAAGAAGTAGAAGAAGAAGAAGACTACAAACAGGGAACAAGAACAAACAATGCAGGCTTTCCAAACAGAATGGACGTAGATCTCTTTCAAATCAAGACTACACTTTTTTATGACAACTGACAGCATATTGTTTATTCACATTTACAGTATAGTGCAACTATGCTAATGACTGCTCACAGACGACCCTTTGCTACATATAGGAAAATCTGTACCAATTTGAGTAATGGACTTTTTAGTATAGAGAGCACTACTATCTTCATCCATTTGTGAGGATTCGAACCTCAGGTCTTCTGAGTCCAACAATGTCATTTCCGAGTCCAAAGAGGTCACTCTAGTCTAGACCAGGTTGGATACAAGAACAAACAATGCAGGCTTTCCAAACAGAATGGACGTAGATCTCTTTCAAATCAAGACTACACTTTTTTATGACAACTAACATGACAGCATATTGTTTATTCACATTTACAGTATAGTGCAACTATGCTAATGACTGCTCACAGACGACCCTTTGCTACATATAGGAAAATCTGTACCAATTTGAGTAATGGACTTTTTAGTATAGAGAGCACTACTATCTTCATCAATTAGTGAGGATTCGAACCTCAGGTCTTCTGAGTCCAACAATGTCATTTCCGAGTCCAAAGAGGTCACTCTAGTCTAGACCAGGTTGGATACATACTATACAGTTGGGAAAAACTGTAGAGATAGATGAGTTGCAGAGATCAAAAGTGTTAACACCCAGCACTGTTCATGCTAGCCTAGGAATTAAGGAAACAGCTTCAGGACAGTGCAATTAGATCAAATCTTAGTCTAGTCTTAGACATGTCACTACAATACCCTTGGCCCAATTGGCTAAGAGACTAGTGAGTGAAAGACAAAGAAAAACTGCAGAGATCCTAGACTACTGGAAATCTTAAGATCAGCTTCCACCTGCAAGAACAGCTAAATCTTTCCTCTAAAACTGAGGTCAATCCCGTCCGTGGCCTGTGCCAGAACAAGCCACGAAGACAGACCTCCTGTCCCGCATGCACTCCCCCCCCACAGCTGCTTTGAGTATGCGTGCCAGCACTGGCGTGTGCACTCCCCCACCCCCTGTCCGTGGCCCGGTGCCAGTCCGTGGCCTTGCCAGAACAAGCCACGAAGACAGACCTCCTGCCCCGCATGCACTCCCCCCCACAGCTGCTTTGCGTATGCGTGCCAGCACTGGCGTGTGCACTCCCCCACCCCTTCACGCATGCGCATGCGTGCAGGGGTGGGGGTGCACACATGCAGGCATGCAGGGGCTCCAGCGCATGCACAAAGGGGTGGGGGAGTGATTGCGCATGGTATGCGTGCCAGCACTGGCGTGTGCACTCCCCCACCCCTTCACGCATGCGCATGCGTGCAGGGGCGCACACATGCAGGCATGCAGGGGCTCCAGCGCATGCACAAAGGGGTGGGGGAGTGATTGCGCATGCACTCCCACAGCTTCACGCATGCGCCCGAGAGCACGCACACTCCTCCACGCGTATGGGGGCGAGGGGGTGCCCCGCCTTCCTCAGCCAGCCCATGGTCCTGAAAAGGTTGGGGAGCGCTGCTCTAAAATACAAATAAGGAAAGTGTGGGACTTCAGATGTTGCTGGACTACAATTCCTATTATCCCTCACCACCTGCTACAATTAACAGCTGAGGTAGTCTGACAACATCTGGAGGGCCACACATTATCTCCCCAGCTTTAAAATCACAAGGGCTAAAAACTTTTGTTGCCCTTAAAAATAAACCTCAAGCTGTAACACTCAACACTGGACTCCACAACTGCATTTTTAGAATTTATTTGGGTTGTAGTTGTGTTAGTCTGTGCAAGCATTTCAACAAGAAACATAAAACAAACAAAAGCAAAAAAGAAGATGTTGTGGCACTTTAAAGACTAACTGCTATCAAGCCTTCATGGATGATTGCTCACTTCATTAAAATATAGGAGTTAGTTTTTAAAGTGCCACAATGTCATTTATTACTTTGTTTATTTATTTAGCTTTTGTTTTATTTTCTGGTTCTGAACATTTGTTGGGGACATGGAAAGGGGCCTTCTCTGTTTCTGCTCCCAGGTTCTGGAAGTCCCTCCCATAGGAAGCCAGGCTGGCTCCATCTTTACTGTCCTTCTGCAAGCAGGTGAAGACCTTTCTCTTCAGGCAGGCTTTCTATTAAATGACTGGTTGACCAAGAGGAATTTTTAAAGGGAGCATTTTATTCTATGTTTTATTTGTGTTTTTTATATTCTTCCTATTATGAGTTTTAATATACTTGTTCCATGTTTTTTAATATTGTAATTTATTGTTTGATTTTTAACTTTGTTGTCGCCTTGGTTCCTCTAGGAGAAAGATAGCATATAATCAAACAAAGAGTTCATTTGGTTCTCTGTCATCGGGACACTGTTTAATCATTCAGAAAGAAGTTACATTCTGTACCAGTGGTCCCTTTGGACTGAAGTCTAAAACATCTGGAGATCCAAAGGTTGAGAACTGCTGATCAACACCTCTTTGACTCCCACTCCCAGCAATATCTTCTTAATATAATCAGAAAGAAAATGTAGACTAATTTTTGCTTCTAAACTTTTTCATGCTGTGTATGTTCAGCACTATGAACACATATACTGTGAAAGCATACATTGAAGATATGATCCTACACATGCTAAGCTGGGAGTTACCCTGAAGTCCATGGCATATGAGACTTAATTCAATTATGTTTGCTCTCTTTCCTTGCCCCTTCCTTTTTTGGCATTTTTTCTATTGTTTTACATGTGTTCACATCTGCAATCCTCAAGTCACCAGGGTCTTACACGTACATTTTTCACTCTTTCATCCACAGCTGGTTTCTTGTGGCATTCTTCCATGCATCTCTGAAGTGTGTGCGAATACTGAACTTTACACATCTTTTCCGTTAAGTCAGGACCCACACAGAAAAGAAGTTAATTACCATATGGAATAGATCCAATTATTTGATCCAGCCTATATGGTTGTAAGATTAGCAAATATACAGCAGGTAGAGAAGATTATACTGCAAAAAGTAGTATTCCCCAAGGGGAATGAGAGAGCAATGAATGCGCAAGTCAAAGTAACCACAACAAGATCAGTTCTATTTCCACAATCATGATCCTAGGGGCCAAGACAGATTTGCCCTGTCAACATACCTAATAATTTTGATTACCAGCTCCCTGCTGCATTCCCTACAAGTTCATACAGCAAGAATGTTCTTCCTTAAAAAAAGAATACTACAGAAGGAATCAACAGCTTCTTCTGTATGGAAGACGGGATAAACTGGGAAGATGTCACAAGTGACAGCCATGATACTTTTTTTAAAATCTGCAAAAGGTTTCCCACACATTTAGAATACCCCTCATGTTAACACACCCTAAAAATGCAATGCAGCCTTGACTCAGAAATTATAAGCACTGGAAAAGTGATCTGGAACATCTCAGATTGCTTCATTTCCAATCTTTAGCAATGCTTGGTTTTACACTCCCTTGAGGCACTTTGTGGTAACAAAAGATAGAAACATGCCTTTTAAAAGTGGAAATAGATCTCCTGCCAACAACAGGCATCACTAAAAAACCCTACTTACCCGTGGCATTTGCTATAGTGAGTGGAAGCCCTTGCAGCTGATGAACCTGGATTCCTGATCCCAGGGCCCCAAGATTAATGGTCTGAAGACCTGGCACAGAAGATAACTGAGCAGCATTGACAGTGACCGTGCCACTGGGCAGTGAGGCTGAAGCTACTGGTGTGAGTGTTGTGTTGGTGCTTCCTGTCTGTCCCAGGGACACTCCTTGCACTGGAGCCAAAGCGATTGTCTGAGCTTGTGGATTCTGAACCTGAAGATTTTGCAGCTGAATCGTCTGCCAGCTGACCTGCCCGTTTGGCCCCACGGTGGGTGTTCGGATAAAGATAGGACCAGCATTGGGCAGAGCCTGGATCTGCAGATTTTGCAAGGCATCTTGGGTAGTAAATGTCTGGCCAGCTTGTCCTCCTTGTAGAAGTTGTGGTTGCACTAGAATTTGCTGCTGCTGCTGCTGGTTTTGATCAGTATCCTTCTGCTGCCCTTGTTGAACAGCAACCTGCAGACCATCAGTGTTTTGAGCACTGTTTGTCCTCTGAGGTGTCTGTGCTTGGATATTTGTTCCGACAGTGCCACCCGTGGAAAAATTCATGATGCCCAAGTTACCTGTTGTGTTAGTGGCATTATAGCTATTGGCATTGGTAAAGAAACAGCCAGAGTTGGCTTGGGAAGCAGCCACACTGGAGGAACTGATTGAAACACACGATGTTGCTGGCTGAGAGCTGCTCTCTTGGGAGCCAGAACTGCTAAGGGTAACCGAATGAGAAGTGGGTGCCAGGCTGGCAGAGATGCTGTTCACAGGCAACAAGGTTATATTGCCATTCAAAGCAAGCGGGACATTAGTGACATACTGAGTCTGCCCTGAGAGTGCATTCACACCCTGGATGGGGACAGCCTGCTGCAAAAGATTTGGCATGGCAGCCAGGATACTGCCTGTCCCAGATCTGTTGGTGATGAGCTGCTGATTCGCTCCAGGAATGATCTGCAATTGACCAGAGGCATCTGGCTGGACACTGACTTGGGTGGGAGTGGTAGCAAACTGCAGCTGCTGTCCATCCACGGTTTGAAACTGGGGGATCACCTGATACTGAATGTTGGGTATGACTCCCGACAAGCCTGTTAGGACTTGCTGATTCTGTAGGCTGGAGGTGGTTGAAACCACATACTGCCCAGCCGTCACAGACCGGTTTTTGGACGATGAATCATTCTCCTCATTGTTATTGCTTCCCTGGTCTTTAGAAGAGTCGGCGGTCCCAGAGGGGGTGGAAATTATTTGCCAGCCATTCTGGGAAATCTGAGTTGCAGCAGTAGCCAGGTCCAGTTCACTGGAGCTCCCCTGATGTCCTTGTGAACCATCAGCATTCTCGTTGGGAGATTCAATCCGGCTGCATGTGGCTGCCAGCAAAGCCAAAGGGGAAGGCTGGGACTCCTATCAGGAAAAACAGACAGAGAAGAGGAGTCAAGCAGAATCTAGAAGGCTGTACAAAACAAAACAAAAGGGGGGAGGAGCATACACCCATTCGGAAAGCCTCACAATGCCTCTCTGAAGTAGGGTGACCTGCCTACTATCATTCTCCTCATTGTTGTTGTTTCCCTGGTCTCTCTTACAGAACTGGGGCTCAAAGCAGCTCACAAGATGAAAAACAGATACTGCTAAAAGCCCCTTTCTATGCCTGCTTACTCACACACTAAAGGCAAGACAATTTTACAGCCCAGCTATTTTTAATGAGGACGTTCAGAGTCTAATTCTCACAGGGTAATTGCTTAAAAGTAGGAGGAAGAGTTCTTCATCCACCCTACTGCAAGATGACACTTTATCTAAAATTAAAGACACAAATATTGTGGTTGCTATTTCCCCCCTCCCAACCCGAATTACAAGCACAGAGGACGGCCAAACTGCCAAAATTTCAGAGCATGTTTGTGGGGAATGCAAAGGACCCAGCCACTCTCTCCCAAAGAAACAAACAAAAGCATGTGTTGTTGGAACCACTGAGGCCCAGAAAAAACTTCCCCTCCCAACAGTTCCTATTCCAACTCACCTGGCCTTCACCATTTCCTCCATCATTATTGCTGCTTTCATCTATCTTCTCAGTCTTGACAATGACCATTTCTTCAGAAATATCATGGTCTAAATGAGATTTGGGGAATAAAAGAAAAAGTAAAAACCGAATAGGCAAACAAGTTACACAAAGCAAGTTACACTTCCAAAAGGAGGGCATGGAGGCAGTTTGAAAATACAAATATTGAAAAACAGGTGCCTTTGTCAGTAGAGGACATTTCAGGAAGGATTTCACTCTTCTAGCAAAACACAAAGCATTATCATCACCCAGCTAAAAACCTCAATATTGCTAACTTGCCTTTGGAACCTTAAGTTCAAAAACATCTCGCCCAGTCTCGCTGGTACCCACCAGATGTGGTGGACTACAATTCCCATCTTCTCCAACCAAGACAGACAAGAAAGCTGGACATAATAGGAGCTGGCCACTCTAGAGGTGCAGGATGCTGTTCTAACACTGAAGAAGTTGAGATTCTTACAGTGGATAACAGTAGGAAGGTGAGAGAGAGAAAAGAGGGATGTGGTTTTATGGATAAGAAACAGCAGAGTCAGCCAGTGCAGCAAAACAGTCGGTTCTGAACTTGCACTAGCTTCTCCAGTTACTAAAGAAGTGCACATTCACATTCCTTCTCAGTCATAAAGTTGATCAAGAGGCCTAGAGGAAGTCACTTTATCTCAACCTAATCACAAGATTATTGATAGGGAAAGCAATCACATGACTTACACCCTCCTAAGCTACTTGAAGAAAACAAATACAGCAGGAAGTCTGGCCAGTATGCAAAGGGCATCAACCAGCACAACAGAAAGGAGTGGCATGTAACAACAGAAAATTGAGTTAGAAAAGGCAAAGGCAGTAAGAGAAAGACTTGCTGCAGTCTAGCATACAAAAGAAAGATGAGTCCTTTTCACCAAATTAAACTACTGTTTATATTTTTATGCTTTTAACCATAACTTATTGTATTGTATGTTTGTTCTCACTGCACTTTGATATTTGTGTTCACAAACGTATTGATATTGTGTTATTGTGTTGCTTGTCTATTAGTTGCAAACTGCCCAGAGTGGCCTTGACTGCCAGATGGGTTGTGTGTGTGCGCACACATAAGTAAATAAATAAAATAAACTTGTGATTAATTTCTGCAATGCACAGAATATAGATACATACTGGTTTTCCCTGAAAATAAGACAGGGTCTTATATTAAGCTTTGCTGCAAAAATGCATTAGGGCTTATTTTCAGGGTATGTTTCATTTTTTTCATGTACAACAATCTACATTTATTCAAATACAGTCATGTCATCTACTGGTTGCTGCACAATGGTGGAGAGCGGGCTTTCACTTATTTTGGGGGCAGGGCTTATATTATGAGCATCCTGAAAAATCATACTAGGGCTTATTTTCAGATTAGGTCTTATTTTCAGGGAAACAGGGTAGCACTCTTCTAACTGAATCAGGTAATTGCCTACCTGGAGAAAATTGTATCTTCTCTCAATATATAAACATGTATCCATTGTATGTTCTCTCAATGTATAATCAAAAATCAGGGGGTACTACTACTGGGTCTAGTTCTAGGTTTAAAGTGAACTTTCCCTGAGTGCATTTAATATGTGGTGTTCTACATGCTCTCTGTGACTGGGGTGTGTGTGTGAAAAATACCAACCCCCCTCTTTGACATGGATAACATTTAATCGAAAATACTAATTTCCATAGGCACGTTACTAAACATATACAGACCTCTGGTCCTCCTTCATAAATACATTTCTTTATACGACAAAAACCAATAACCCACAAACTGAGATCTGCATACAAAATATTTTCAGCATAAAGCAACTGAAAATATTATTCAATGCAGGAAAGGAAGCAGCTGCATGAGTCAGTCCTACTTGCAGCAGACCCAATAGGGAACCTCGCACCAGGATACACCAAACACAGGCTGCCAATCATAGGGGTTCTTAAGATTCCCCCCCCCCCCAGGAAGCGTTCCAAGCAATTTAGTAGCTTAGATGAAACGATCCCTGAAGAAAGGATAGGCCTGTTTTATTCCTAGGTGATGGTCTTTGACGGTAATAAATGCAATGCACGTTTTATTCTTAAGAGCTCAGCAGAAGCAGCCCAGTTAAAAAAGGCAGCCTAGGAAGACTTGAGCCCATGCCTAGAGGCATTTTTGTTTTGATCCTGCCAAGGGGCCTCCAGCAGATGAACGTGCTGGGCAAGATCCGGGCCCTTCCCCCTGACCTACATCAAGCCTCCACTTCGCAACAGCGAGGCCCTCAGGTGCCTGCCCGCTCGTCGCCCGCTTCCTTCCTCAGACATGTGGGCGGTATCGTCGGGTTCCCTCCGCCACGACACAGCCAAGCGCTCTGCACATGTTCAGGAACACTCCCTTTCCTCCTATTAACCTCAAGGGTTTGGCGCTGCTCCAACGGGCCGTTTGAGCTGGGAACCACCTGCTACTAGATTTACACGGGGAACCTCTCCAGCCCTCTTCTTCCTCCCTGCCTCAATCCCGCACCTCGTCAGTCGCCCGCGTCTCTCTCTCACAACCTTGGGCCGAGAGAGAAAGGAGGCGGCTCCGTCGTGCTCTGCCGCCTCGTCGTTCCCGCTGAGGCATTCCCACCCCGGTCCTGGTCCGCCCCCCC